TGGTGGGGGGGGGGGCCACATCAGCAAGGCCACATGGTGGGGGGTCAGCAAGGCCACATGGTGGGGGGGGTCAGCAAGGCCACATGGTGGGGGGGGGCCACATGGTCAGCAAGGCCACATGGTGGGGGGTCAGCAAGGCCACATGGTGGGGGGGGTCAGTAAGGCCACATGGTGGGGGGGGGTCAGCAAGGCCACATGGTGGGGGGGGTCAGCAAGGCCACATGGTGGGGGGGGGGGTCAGCAAGGCCACATGGTGGGGGGGGGGGTCAGCAAGGCCACATGGTGGGGGGGGGTCAGCAAGGCCACATGGTGGGGGGGGTCAGCAAGGCCACATGGTGGGGGGTCAGCAAGGCCACATGGTGGGGGGGGGTCAGCAAGGCCACATGGTGGGGGGGGGGGTCAGCAAGGCCACGTGGTGGAGGGGTCAGCAAGGCCACATGGTGGAGGGGTCAGCAAGGCCACAAGGTGGGGGGTCAGCAAGGCCACATGGTGGGGGGTCAGCAAGGCCACAAGGTGGGGGGGTCAGCAAGGCCACATGGTGGGGGGGGGTCAGCAAGGCCACAAGGTGGGGGGTCAGCAAGGCCACATGGTGGGGGGGTCAGCAAGGCCACATGGTGGGGGGTCAGCAAGGCCACAAGGTGGGGGGTCAGCAAGGCCACAAGGTGGGGGGGTCAACAAGGCCACATGGTGGGGGGGGTCAGCAAGGCCACATGGTGGGGGGGGTCAGCAAGGCCACATGGTGGGGGGGTCAGCAAGGCCACATGGTGGGGGGGGGGGTCAGCAAGGCCACAAAGGGGGGGGGGCAAGGGGTCAGCAAGGCCACATGGTGGGGGGGGGTCAGCAAGGCCACATGGTGGGGGGGGGGTCAGCAAGGCCACAAGATGGGGGGGTCAGCAAGGCCACATGGTGGGGGGGGTCAGCAAGGCCACATGGTGGGGGGGGTCAGCAAGGCCACATGGTGGGGGGGGTCAGCAAGGCCACAAGATGGGGGGGGGTCAGCAAGGCCACATGGTGGGGGGGGGGGTCAGCAAGGCCACATGGTGGGGGGGGGGTCAGCAAGGCCACATGGTGGGGGGGGTCAGCAAGGCCACATGGTGGGGGGGGTCAGCAAGGCCACAAGATGGGGGGGGGGTCAGCAAGGCCACATGGTGGGGGGGTCAGCAAGGCCACATGGTGGGGGGGTCAGCAAGGCCACAAGATGGGGGGGGGTCAGCAAGGCCACATGGTGGGGGGGGTCAGCAAGGCCACATGGTGGGGGGGTCAGCAAGGCCACAAGATGGGGGGGGGGTCAGCAAGGCCACATGGTGGGGGGTCAGCAAGGCCACAAGATGGGGGGGTCAGCAAGGCCACAAGATGGGGGGGGGGGTCAGCAAGGCCACAAGATGGGGGGGGGTCAGCAAGGCCACATGGTGGGGGGGGGTCAGCAAGGCCACATGGTGGGGGGTCAGCAAGGCCACAAGATGGGGGGGGGGGTCAGCAAGGCCACATGGTGGGGGGGGTCAGCAAGGCCACAAGATGGGGGGGGGTCAGCAAGGCCACAAGATGGGGGGGGGGTGGGGGTGTCAGCAAGGCCACAAGGTGGGGGGGGGTCAGCAAGCCTACATGGTGGGGGGGGGGGGGGGTCAGCAAGGCCACACGTTTTTTTTTTTTTTGGGGGGGGGGGGGGGGAGTAAAGAGGAAAGAGAGGCATAGGTGAAGGGAAGTATAGAAGTGGGAAATACAGTGAGAGGTATGAAAGCAGGCGGGCTGTCCGCCTTGCTGACACGATGTGTGGGTGTTGGCAGCTAAGCTAAGCTGGCTCCCTCTTGTCAGGGAGCTGTGAATGTGTGTGAGAGGTTCTTCACATGTGTTTCACCATATATGGATGTCAATAGATGAATACTGTGTAGCATTCATATATACACACTCCGATGCTTCCACACGTTATTCTGTTTAAGGCTCTATTTTATTATTATTATTTATCGAGTTGTCATACATACATATTATTTATCGAGTTGTTCATACATACACATATATGAACTGTGAAAGAGATGCATTTAAGATAAGGCCACATGGTGGGGGGGGGGCTCAGCAAGGCCACATGGTGGGGGGGGGCAGTAAGGCCACGTGGTGGGGGGGGCAGTAGCAAGGCCACATGGTGGGGGGGGGGGGCTCAGCAAGGCCACATGGTGGGGGGGGGCTCAGCAAGGCCAGTAAGGCCACATGGTGGGGGGGGGGGGGGGGGCAGTAAGGCCACATGGTGGGGGGGGGCATAAGGCCACATGGTGGGGGGGCAGTAAGGCCACGTCGGGAAGGGGGGGGGTCAGTAAGGGCAAAGCATGGTTAGCCATAAGTTTCATACGAAACGCTTTAAGGTCGAGTGAGGGAGACAAGTGGGTCATGAAGCCTCACTTCACTCCAAACGTTGCCTCCAAAAACGGGTAGAGAAGGATGGTGTAGGGAAGGCGGCGAGCGCCCAACTGGACGTTGTAGGTGGGTGGTATAGATGCCAGAGTGGACCTCGGTTACTGGCCCTCCAGTATGGGGCGAGGCAACGAAAACCCGACACACACACCCGTCAACCTTTGGCCCAGTCTCCCTTGCCCTACCTGCCTCGACAGTTAGGTATGTGACACTTCCCCCCCCCCCCCCCACCTCCCTTCACCACCACCACCACCTCTCTCTCCTCCTCCTCCTCCACCACCACTACCTCTCTCTTCTCCTCCTCCTCCTCCTCCACCACCACCTCCTCCTCTCCTCCTCCCTCTCCTCCTCCACCACCACCTCCTCCTCCTCCTCCCTCTCCCTCCCTCCACCACCACCACCTCCTCCTCCTCCTCCCTCTCCTCCACCACCACCTCCTCCTCCTCCCTTCTCCTCTACCACCACCACCTCCTCTTCCTCCCACTCCACCACCACCACCTCCCTCTCCACCACCACCACCACCTCCCTCTCCACCACCACCACCACCTCCCTCTCCACCACCACCACCACCACCACCATAGCAAGAGCAAGAAGGTGAAGAAGGTAGCAAGAGGCTGCAAGATGACTTAAACAAACTGAAGGAATGATCCAACAAATGATTACTGAAGTTCGACCAAAGTAAATGCAAGGTAATAAAACTAGTCAGAGGGAACTGGAGGCCAGACAAAGGGTATTGAATGGGAGACTAATTCCTCCACGAAATGTACAGAGAAAGATCTATGAGTTGATATACTGAACTTGTCTCCTGAAGTCCACATCAAAAGAAAACCATCAGCAGTGTATGCGAGGCTGGCTTAACATTAGAACTGCTTTTCGAAATGTGTGTAAGAAATTATTTAGAACCTTGTATACTACATACATAAGACAAATCCTGGATACCTGCTTGATGGGGTTCTGGGAGTTCTACTCCCCAAGCCCGGCCCGAGGCCAGGCTTGACTTGTGAGTTTGGTCCACCAGGCTGTTGCTTGGAGCGGCCCACATACCCACCACAGCCCGGTTGGTCCGGCACGTTTTTTAGAAAACAATTTAGTTTTAGTATGCAGCTCCAGCATGGAATCCATACCTTGTCAAGCACAAAAGGTTGGATTAAGTTCATATGTAAGCCAACAGATCAGTCCCAGAGCTGAGAGAGATAAGTTATGAGGAAAGGCTACGGGAATTAAACCTCACATCATTGGAAGACGTAAGAGTTCGGGAAGACATGATCACCACATTCAAAATTCTCAGAGGAATTGACAGGCTAGATAAGGACAGATTATTTAACACTGGTGATACTCGCACAAGGTAACACAGGTGGTACTCGCACAAGATGACACAGGTGGAAACCAAATACCCATAGGAGCCACGAAGACATTAGAAAACTTTTTTAGTGTGGGTTAATAGGTGGGATCTAGGAGCCAAAGCTCAATGCTAAACACCAGAAACAATATGGTAGAAGTGCTGATAATCAAAATAAAAATTCTAAATGTGGTGATTGTCCTTTTATATAAATCACCAGATGCAAATCCTCAGTAGTTTAAAGATAAACTTATGAAAATAGAATTCTGCATAAAAATACTCCCAAATCCTGCCCCTAACACCATCTTGCTTAGTGATTTCAACTTATGGGATCTAAAATGGAAAAATATGGAAAATACTGTACTGTCATAGCAGAGAATCCCAGGAAGTGGTCTGAATGAACATTTACACACAAATGACCTCTTGCTGATGTGTGTGACAAATCTGCTTTAAACCAGCAAATAGTAGAGCCAACTAGGAAAGAAAACACCGAAGACCTTATTTTTACAAACAACGATGAACTGATTAGAGACAATGATTACAAATACTTGATTACAATTACAGATGAGCATGGGCAATAGACCTGTGCAACCAATTTCAACCCCCAATAGAGATGAATTCAGCAAATTCAATTTTAACAAACTGATTAACTGGGACAAATAAACAAACACCTAATAGAAATATGTGGTGAAGAACAACTAGATCATGCAAACTTAAAAAGCTCGGTCATGTCTCCCCTTCCCTTTCCCATCTACAGAAATGTAGGCCGAGCTCTTTTACCATATCTTTGTCCAGAATACCAGGAACCAATCTGGTCATCCTATGCTGAATTTTTACAAGGTATTTGATGTCCTCTCTGCTATATGGTGACTAGATGGAGTCAAACTGGGACCTCACCAGAGCCAATGTAACTGGTCGACAACACTTGTGCATCATGTGCTATGTACTGACACAATTCAATAATAACATTATGGCAGTGCTCACACTATCATGAAGCTACACAATAGCATCACCCTCCCTTCCTCCAACTTTAAAGGTTTCTACCGCATGTACTTGTACCAGTAACTGCTTGACAGCATAACTTTTCTCATACAACTGTTAGTATCCCTCTCTCAGGGCAACGTAGAGGATATACTGGACCAGGCTTGGCCATTTATTACTTAGCAAGTTTAATATGTTGTTTATTTGTTTCTTCTTGCCTATACTAACTTCTAACAATAAAAAAATTGTTGAACAAATTTTTTTTTTGAGTACTTACATTGATTATTCCCTGGTGGGTGTGCTGCATGAATTGCTGCTGGGGCAGCTGAGCCTGCTGCTGTAGCTGGCTTATCCGCTGCTGCATCTCTTGAATCTGGTCAGCAGGCCAAGAAACCATCAATATTATTTGTAACTATCACACCATTATCACTAACCAACTCTCACTGTCACACACACACTCCTATACCCCATCTTTCCCACTGAGCTCTATAAACCTAAGAACCTGTACACCAGTAGACTGACAATTGAACTGTGGGGCCAAACAGCTGCAGCTCAACCCCTGCAAGCACAACTATGTGAGTACACATCACATACATACTAATATATACACTAATATACTATAAATGGAGTGAAATAAAATCTACTCTAACTAAACGATATAACACAGCTTAAGATATAAGACACTATGGCACTATCAGAAACACAACCTAAAGATAATATTTTAAATGAGGTCATATTCCCACGAGGGGCTACTCAATTTGGAGACGAAAAAAACAAAAATTAAAAAGTGCCATACCAATGAAAGAACATGTGAAGGTAGAGAATTAATACTTTACAACCCACAAGAGGTTCACATAATGGCTCTGGAAATTTGTACAGTAATTAGGATCATAAATTGAAAATTATTATATATAGTGGCACCTCGACTTACGATTGCCCCTACTTACGATAATTTCGAGTTACAATGTAAATTTCATCGAAAAATGCGACTCGACATCCGATATTTGTTGGTACACGTTCGGGTCGACCGAGCGCATGGTTCCCGGTCACGCGGTCCGACCTGCCTCAGTTTAATACAGCTACCCGCTTAGTGACGATCGCGCCTACAAGAAATTCCGCGTTTGTGGTGATTTTTTGCATTTTGAACATTAAAGTAATTATTAATTATTACATAATGAGTCCCAGGAAAGTCAGTGGTAAGGCTCGACATACAAAAACGCATGTAAGGATGACCATAGAGCAGAAACAAGAGTACAGAATGTCTCTTCCTCAACAATTAAGAAAATGTGTGCAGCATGGGAAGAATTGCAAACCTTTGCTGAAACAACTCGCCCAAATCAAGGTGTAGTAGGCCGTTGCCTTAACCTATTCAATGACACTGATGCATCATTACAGACAAATGTTAAAACGAAGGGAAAAAAAAAATGTCTCTTGACAAACTTGTAGTGAGACAAACAAGCACTGAACCACAACCAGGTCCTAGTGGTATTCAGGCGCAACGTAGGAGAGTACCCCAGAGAAAACATCACTGCCTGATGTGATAATGGAAGGGGACTCCCCTTCCAAACAGTAACAACTCTCCTCCTCCCCCTCATCACCACCTTCCATATGCCATCAAGAGCCCTCCATAAAGGTAAGATCAACTTAGGTACTGTATTGTAGTTAGAAAAAAACATTGTATTCAGTATAAAATGTATTTGTATGTTAATATTTTGGAGGTTGGGGAACGGATTAATTCAATTCCCTTTATTTCTTATGCGAAAAATCGCTTCAATTTACGATATTTCGACTTACGATCCGTCTCTGGGAACGGATTAGCATCGTAAGTCGAGGCCCCATTGTATATATATACATACATACACATGCAGTGAAAAATTGGATGAGAAAAAGTTGCCCTAGTGTTTCCAGTGCAGAGAAGAACATTCAAGATGGCCGCCATCAAGAGGAAAAACAAAAGAGAGCTTGATTTTGCGGGATTCAATGAAGAAAGCATTGATATAAGCAGTCTACACGACAAGTTGGTAAAATTAGATACTATAGTGAACTCTCATGTAGAAATAATTAGTAACTTGAAAGAAAGTAATGACCATTTGCATAGCAAAGTTTTATGTCTTGAGGGTTTTGTAAAAGACTTATGCAAGGATAAGAATCAATTGGAAACAAATTGCAAAGCCATGGAAGAAAAACTCTTAAAAATAGCTTTGGAAAACGAAAAAGTCAATTTAAACATAAATGACTACAATAGGTTAGGTAAGGAAATTCAACAGGAGAAACAGCTTTTGTCAGCACAGATGGAGGAAGTTACACAGGGAATAGAACAGTGCAAGAAGGATATGCAACTCACCTATGCACAAGTAGTCAAGGAGAAGGAAAAAATTGAAGAAGCAGTAAAGGAAGCCAAACACTGCAGCAACCAAGATAAAAAAAACATTAGGCTGGAAGTGAGAAAGGAATTGGCATCTAACCCGAAGTTAGTGCAAAACACAGTTGATTGGAGTAAGTCCCTGATAATTTTTGGTTGCAAAGAAAAGGAGATAACATCTAGGTCAGAGAGCTGTAGAAGAAGCAAAAGTAGTTGATAAAATTGTTGGCCTCGTGGAAGGTCTTACAACCACAGAGAATGTGTGCGACTACAGGAGAATAGGCAGATACGTAAAAGGAAAAGATCGACATTTGAGGATCACGCTAAATGGTGCCAAACTGATGGAAGAAGTACTAAGGAATGCTAGAAAATTACAAAGTGATGAGGATGGGAAAGTGTGGTCGTTAAGACGAGATCTTTCAAAAGAAGACAGAGAAACCTCGCTGAGGCAAAACATTTAAATGAGAGCAGGAATGAAGAAGAAATCAATTCTTTTTTCTACAAAGTGATAGGGGTAGGCAGACCAGTAAAGTGGTACATAAAGGCAAACCTAAAAAATCGTTAGAGAGAGGGGGAGTAAAGAATAAGGAGAGGGGGGGGAACAAGTTCCTGAAGATTGCATACACCAACATAGATGGAGTGAGATCGAAGATACTGGAGTTAAGTGATGTAATACAGCTGCAGACACCAGACATTGTTGCACTTACGGAGACAAAACTTGAAGATGTTATTTTAAATGGTCATATTCCCAAGGGGCTTCTCAATTTGGAGACGGGACAGAAAAATTAGGAAAGGCGGTGGCGTTGCTGTGCTGGTGAAAGAACACCTAAAGGTGAAGGAAATAATGACTGCCAATCCACAAGAAGTTGACATAATAGCACTAGAGATCTGCCATGAAGATGATAAACTAATTATCATAAATGCATATAGTCCACCGCCAAGCAACACATGGTTAAAGGAGGAGCTAGATAGTAAACGAGAAGGTCTTATAACAATAATGAGAGAGATTATAGCGAGAGCGGATAACGATAGATCACGACTGTTGATAGTTGGCGACTTCAACTTGAAATCCATAGACTGGGAAGCATATGAAACTAAAACAGAAGATTTTTAGACCTGTAAATTTGTAGACCTCATCCTGGAAACATTCTTGTATCAACATGTTAAACAAGCTACGAGGATGAGGGAAGGGGACGTTCCCTCCATGCTAGATTTGATATTTACCAGGAAGGAGGCAGAGATATTTGACATTCAATACCTTCCTCCCTTGGGTAAAAGTGACCATGTCTTATTGGGAATAAAGTATGCAATGCATTATAATATGGAAGAAAATAAGGAGGTTGCAGCAGTTGAAAAACCTGACTTCAGAAGAGGACATTATGGCAACCTTAGACAAATTTTTAGTGAGTATAATTGGACAGACTTGTTGCTAGGCAAGTAAGTGAATGAGATTTGTTGTTGTTTTGTGAAATATATGATAAAGGCACAAAAAAAATTATACCAAAACAGATGCAGAACTAGGAAACAGGATTGGTTCAACAGAATTTGCGAAAGGGCCAGAAACCAAGACACAAAAATGGAATCAATACAGGAAGAGGCCAAACCCCCGAACATACCAGCGATACAAAGATGCGAGAAACATCTACACAGCAATGAGGAGAGAGGCAGAAAGAAATTTTGAAAAAGGGATTGCAGACAAATGTAAAACAGAACCAGGTCTATTCTATAAATTCATAAACAAAAAATTGCAGGTGTAGGATAATATTCAGAGGTTGAAAATGGGAAATAGATTCACGGAAAATGAAAAAGAAATGTAATACTCTATCAGACAGACAGTATGGTTTTTGATCTGGAAGATCCTGGGTAACAAACTTACTAAGCTTTTATGATCAAGCCACAGAGATTTTACAGGAAAGAGATGGTTGGGTTGACTGCATCTATCTGGACCTAAAAAAAAGGCTTTCGACAGAGTTCCCCATAAGAGGTTGTTCTGGAAACTGGAACATATAGGAGGGGTGACAGGTAAGCTTCTAACAGGGATGAAAAATTTCCCGACAGAAAAATGAGAGCCGTAATCAGAGGCAAGGTATCGGATTGGAGGAATGTCACGAGTGGAGTACCACAGGGTTCAGTTCTTGCACCGGTAATGTTCATTGTCTACATATACGATCTACCAGTGGGAATACAGAATTATATAAACATGTTTGCTGATGATGCTAAGATAATATGGAAGATTAGAAACCTAGATGATTGTCATTCCCTTTAAGAAGACCTGGACAAAATAAGTATATGGAGTAACACTTGGCAAATGGAATTTAATGTGAATAAATGCCAAGTTGTGGAATTGGAAAACAGACCCCACACAACCTATAAATTATTTGAGAAATCTTTAAAGAATTCTGACAAAGAAAGGAATCTAGGGGTGGTTCTAGATAGAAAACTGTCACCCGAGGACCACATTAAGAACATTGTGCGAGGAGCCTATGCTACACTTTCTAACCTCAGAATTGCTTTTAAATACATGGATGGCGATATAATAAAGAAATTGTTCACGACTTTTGTTAGATCAAAGCTAGAATATGCAGCGGTTGTATGGTGCCCATGTCTTAAAAAGCACATCAACAAACTGGAAAAAGTTCAACGACATGCCACTAAATGGCTCCTAGAACTGAAGGACAAGAGCTACGAGGAGAGGTTAAAGGCATTAAATATGCAAATACAGTACTAGAAGATAGAAGAAAAAGAGGAGATATGATCTGTACGTTCAAAATAATAACAGGAATCTATAAAATTGATAGGGAAGAATTCCTGAGACCCGGAACTTCAAGAACAAGGTCATAGATTTAAACTAATGAAACAAAGCTGCCGGAGAAATAATAAAATTCACTTTTGTAAACAGAGTGGTAGAAGGTTGGAACAAGTTAGGTGAGAAGAGGGTGGAGGCCAAGACCGTCAGTAATTTCAAAGCATTATATGACAGAGCTGGGGAGACGGGACACCACGAGTGTAGC